ATCTCAGCTTAATCGGACGACGGAGTACATCTGAATCGCAAAATTCGCTCAAACAGGACCTTCAGGAAGGTCCGCATTTTCCGCGCGATTTTCACGCATCTGATCACTCAGGCCCACAGGTACATGACATGGGAAGCTCCCCTGAAAATTTCAGCGAAATCGGCCCACATTTGGCTGCAGCGCACCGCTGGAAATACAAATTTCCGTTTTGGGCCACTGGCGTTGTTGGCGGATATGGGTCACGTGACCGGCTTTCGGCGCAGCTGAAAGGTCAGTTTTGGCTCGGAATATCTCAGTGGCTGTCATCAGTCTGCTACTGACGGTTTCACCTTAGCTTTAACCCAAAATTTCCCATTTAAGCACTTGGAACTATCCTTTGTGCCATGCCAAATATCGGTCATGTGACGGCTTCCGGCCCATCTGGAAGGCCAGTATTGAGTCAAACTCAATGACAGTTATCATTTTACTGATAAGATCCTTATTTGAGCTAAAACTCAATTTTTCCACTGAAGCTCCTGGCAGAGCCTGCTGGATATGGGCCACATGACCGGTTCTGTACTATCTGAGTTTTGACACATGTTATCAGCCTGATGTTTCCATCTGATGGCTTCCACATCCGTGTTAAGCTTTCCATCTTAGTTAACTCGTGCCTTTAGCATAGGTGACAAGTCATTTTAATTGAAAAATTTGGCAGCACCTATATAGTGGCAGGTAGTCCCTGCACACAAATTTGAGTGACACATGAAATTCACATGTAGAGTGTTAGTTTTGTGTTATATTGTCCTAGGGCCCCCATTATCTCTTAATAAACTACCATTTAATTTGAGTTCAGAACTCAAAATCTCCTTTTTAGGCAATTGGTGATATCATCTATTTTCCAATCTGACTTAGTTGTCCACTGCTTCAATAGATTTTATTCTCTAAACCTTGTTAGTTCATTTTTTTAGAGCCATACTGTATCAATTTATTCAATTTGGCAGTCACATATCACACCAGCCATCTGGCTCCACAATATTGATTTTTTGATTTTTACCATACTCCTATTTGGTGTTATACTGTACTATTTGAATCAATTCGGCATGTCACGGTCACACCTGATTTTCAGAAACACTGTCAATAATTTGTTTCTCAATTTTCTGGATTTTTGGGCGACTTTTGATTCCATCAAAAGTGGTGATCCGGCCGAATTGAACGAAATAGGACAGTATTATTTGCAAGCATGATTTTTACCACACTTTTACTTTTACCATTTGCCTCCCAGTGTTTTGTTCAGAGCTTTATAACAGACACTAGTGCATCATCAATCATCTACATCATCAACAAGTGACCATCATTCTGTTGACCATACTTTTACTTTGGTACAGAACATTAACTATAGCTTTATCCCCCTGTCTAGGCTGTTGGGCCGCCTGCCCTTGGGTCCAGGTCAGGCCTATAACCAGCCTGTTCACAGTCTAAGCCCAATGCTAACAGAGACCAATCCTGCAAAGTATGCCCTTACACGGGAATTTGATTTTTACCACATGGACCTAATATTAGGAAACTTGATATTTATTAGACATTCAATTCCGCCGGATCACCATTTTTGATAGAATCAAAAGTTGGGAATGACATTGGTCAATCATCATCTTGGCAATCCACTCCGGTCAGAGATGTGCTAACATGACTTTTATCAGTCACACCATTTTTTTTCCTTCCTTTCCCCCCCATCCCCCGTCCGTGCTTTGCTGCAGCGTTGTGCTGCTACCTTCGGGAGGGGAAACCCTGCATGGTTGAAAACTCTACTTTTGAGGCAGCTATGTGGCGGACGCGTCGGACTCACTTAATTAACGCGTTTTTGGGGACATCTCGGTGTTCCCTCTGCCAAGCGGTTCAGCAATGAGACCCAAAAAACAAGCAAAGTCCAGTTATTTCCGGTCACGTGACCGTGTATGACCACGTGCGTGATCATCAGTGACGAGGCAAGCCAGAGCCACGCCATTCTTCGCTCCGCCTCTCCACAACAACGCAGTCTATCGTAAATTTCTCGCCTCATGCAGCATTGGGGCTCATCGACGGCTCATCGTACGGCACGAACGTGAAGACAAACCTACTCCCACTCTTCTACGACTCTCTTGACCCCTCTAACATCCTCACATTAATCGGGACTGGCGCGCTCGATTTGCGTTGGCATCATCGACCTTTGCTCATCTCAAGCCGGTGCTGAGATGGCATTCAAGGTTTTCGCAACCCCCAAACTCATGCGCGTCATTGGGAGGAGTTGGAAGGTGCTCATCGACGAAGGCGACAAACCGAGTCTCTTCCGGCTTGGGCGTGTGTTGGCGCAGTCCCGGATAGGGGCCCACGGAACGGAACCAGCCTACCTTGCAGACCTTCTCTATGGTGTCGGCCGCTCGTGGACTCATCTTGCTGTCCATACCGTCCGCCATTTGCGCTGTGTCATCCCTACTGCGGACATGAAAGTCGACGAAGAATGTCTTGTGTCAATGACGGCCATCTGCTTCCTCGTTGGCGAACCTTTCCACAACAATGCGGTCTATCGTCAAGCTCTTTGGGACCACGGCTTCATGAGCGCCATCACCGTTGCATATCGAGCCGTCAGTGCTATCTCTCCACTTGCCAGCCATTGGGGGACGGTTTCGGAAGACCTCTTCATCGCATTGATAAACAGCCTGATATTTCCAAGTGCGCGACCCCGCGTCATCGAGTCGCTCAGTGCCGGCCTCCTCCCAGCACTCTTTGCATATGGGCGACTACGTCAGCGGGACAGCTCGAACCAAACCAAGTTTTTCAATGACCAATTCGTCGGTTTCATTGCACAGATTCTTCCTGGCTTTTGCGTCTACCACTCGGTCTTGATCCAACTCAGACTCTCCCTGCGCGATGTGAGAAGTTTGGATCCCCGCCTTCATTTTCGGTTCAAAGGAAGCGACAAGCTGGCAGAACACTGGACCAGTTTTGTGTCACAGGTGGAGAGTCGATTAGAAGTAGTGGATTGGTTTAGTGATGGACAATTGACTATGTTCAAGGCGTGCGATGATATCGGGGTATGTTTCCTCATTGACTACCCTTGTATCCAGTCTTACATTTCGTCATAGTGCGGTAGAATCGCAGACAGAAAATCGATGAAGCGATGTTCGGGCTGCCTTACGTCCTTCTACTGCTCTCCAGTTTGTCAGAAGAATGACTGGAAGGCCAAGGGGGGTTCAAAGTTCGAATCACGGATATAGGGTCGGAAAGTTTTTTTCCGACCCCCCCGGGACCCCCCCCTCCCCCCCTCCTGCCATATATAGTAATATATTCTCACGATCAGCGTCATGTGACCACTGATGCGATCAAAAAGTGGGATAAAAAATTCAATCTTTGTGAAACTTTTTTTGTAAAAAATTTATACATGTGTATGTGTATATGTGTAGGTATGTATGTACCTAGAGCCTTCCAACACACACATGGAAGGCCATATTAACCCTCCAACATGTTCACCTCTCATCAATTACCTGATGCATGGGCCTCTGACAGAGTGGGCTATCCAAGTGCATGGGCCTGAAAGTATATAGATATAAGTAATGAGAGTGCTGAACTATAGAAATTAGAAGGTATACACTATATTTTCAGTGTCTTTATACCCATATAAGGCCCAAATCTTTTATATACAAAAAGTTTTTTTTACCCCCCAGGGACCCCCCCCCTCCCCCCTACCCCATGTGCCTGATAAGGATCTTGAACCCCCCTTGTGGAAGGCGGTGAATGGTCATCGACTCGCTTGTGGCCATCTACGAAGGATTCGTAACGGTGCGCTTTTTGGAACCCTTTTCCGGTAAATTAAAATCTTGCAGAAGATGCCCGTTCATTCACGACCAAGGACCGCGCTTTCTTCCGCGCGCTTCTTAATCAAGGCTACATGGAAACACAAGAGACGACCTGTCTTCAGATGGTGCGGTTCTTCAATACCTACGGTACCAGCGCCGTCCCCCATGTGCATTTCAATTACACCGGCACCCGCGCGCTCATCGCTGTACTCCCTGATATGGACCCACGGCTGACGCGTGAACTCAAGTCAGGCGACACAAAACTGTACGGCGACGACTTTCAGCGTGCCAAGCGGCGGTGTATCACCGGTGCAGGTCAATTACACCTGATGGGCATATTGGATAGCAACACGACGTTGTGGAGGGTGATGCATTTGCGGCGAGAGCCCTCAGCCAGGGGACTGATGGAGGGATTAAAGAGACTCGCGAGCAGTATTCCATCGGGGATCCTTCCCCCAGGAAAGAGTCAGGCGGACCCGGCAGTGCTCGATGCACTCGAGCAATATCGTCCGCAAGCGCGTGCTTTGGTGATGCGATTTGGGATGGTTTCGACACATTAGAAGCCAATTTCTCGAGGGAGAGTCATGTGAAATATATTATATAGAGAGATGGAATATCGCTTGAAAATGCATATTGTACCAATGTAATTATCATCTGTAAGGTAAAGTTTCTACAGCCTGAGCTCACCTCGGCGGTGACCTCGCAGTCCATTCTAATATTAATCCGAGTCGGTGATTGACCATTCGCAAAGCAGCCATTGACAGCAGGTAACTATACTGAAACTGCCAGTAAAAAATTACTACAAAATGCTGGAAAGGAAGCTAGTGATTTCCCTTTGGGGAAGTTAATTGGAAAATCTCTTGTTTTGGAACTGACTTTCTTGCATGGAAATTTTCATTCATTCAACTAATTGTTGGAGCCCAAAATTATATAAGACTCCTCTTGATGTGTAGACTGTGTCACCAAATGAGTTTGTCTGGATTCCCCTATGTACATAAGAAGGGCACAGTCTGGAACATCGTCTGCGCCAACGCGTTCGAGTCAACATCATCTGACCGTGACTGGCCCCATCACGGCCACATCTCTTCTCTTTCAAACTTTCACTGGCGGCGATATTACACGCGCTGTATGTTAACGAGTATGTTGGATCTCTACAGCTTTCCGCCTACTTATTGCTTTCAAGGGTAATCGATGGACATAGACGATGAGCACGATCTGGAGTTGGCACAGGCCTTGGCTCTGAGCCTTGCAGAGGAGGAGCAGAGACAGGCGAGAAACAGGGCGTCGACAAAGTCTAACCGGAGATCGAAGCGGCAATCCGACGTGGTGGTCATCAGCGACGACGACGACGACGACGACGACGACGACATTGTCGAAATATCCACTCCCAAGCCGACCACAGCAAAGCCAAAGGCACCCTCACGCGCTCCGTCAGCAAAACCGTCCATGGCTCCACAACCATCCACTTCTTCCCAGCAGCCACCGCCAATGCCACCTCAGGCTGTTGGCGCCGGTCCACTTTCTTTCCTCGCCGACAGAGCCCAACTGGAGCGGGAACGATTAGCACGCCAAAAGCGCCTACGACCCCCTTCTCTCCGCCGCGAGCTGAGCCCCAATCCAGTGGTGAAGAGGACTATTCTGAGAGTGGAAGTGAGGGGAGTGCGCGCAAACGGGCAAAGCTGAACAACAATGTTGCTGGAGAGACGGTGAATGGAGCGCGGACCTTCCCTTCAGGTTCTTTACTCAGGATTGACACCAAATACGCCACAGACCCCCAAACACCAAGCATCCGACTTTCTGAGGTGCTGGGGCCGAAGAAAGACATCGCGCTGGCCATTTTGTCGTCTTTCGTTGTTGACCCCGTGTGGTTATACTCGTTCTTCGACCCTTCGACGCCAGTGGTGCTCGTAACAGACGCGAATATGTGTGGCGCAAAGGGAGATGGGGACGGGACAGGCTCAGGGTGCGTTTTTTGGAGTGGTCCTAACTGCAACGAAACTAACATCAGCGTTAGACCGCTGCTGAAGCATATGCTTCCCAATTGGGTTCGTGTCTGCCCTCGACTGCATCGGACAGGTGGCTTCGAAGGCTGCATGCATATGAAGTATATGTTGTTGTTCTCCAAAACGGGTAGCCTGCGTGTCGTGATCAGCAGTGCCAACCTTGTCCCATATGACTGGCGCGATATAGAAAACGTGCGTTCTTGCTCATCTGTTTCCGTGTTCTTATGATGCTCAAGTACATTTACATTCAAGACTTTCCACCGGCCTCCACGGGTGCTACAATAACCCACCGACCTGGTGAGAAACCAGGCGAGACTTTCCCAGAAGTACTCTCAGAAGTACTTCGCGCGACGGGTGTAGAGGAAGGGCTAGCAGCGTTGAGGAAGGATGGGGTATGTGAAGCTTTCTGGTTCATTCTATGGTTGCTGACATGAGTTTTATAGCACAAAACGCTGCCTCTCATGACGCTTGCTCCAACCACCTCCTCGTCATCAAGCAAGCCCCATTCTGCGCTGGAACTTGGCTGGGATTGGAGAGCCGCAAGTTCAAACCGGGTCGCCCTTGTTCCTAGTGTGTCTGGGAAATGGGAAGGCTGGGCTGGTCCGACGGCGGTCCTGAAGTAACGCTCCTTCCTCTGTTTCTACTGCAAAAACAGCTGATCCGTTGGACAGATATGGTCAAACCCGTCTTCTTCGCGCAGTGGTCATGTTAGGGCGCTTCGCTTGAAGATATCGAGAAGAGACTGAAGGTGAAGGACAAGGGTGAGCTTGTGCTCGATTGCCTGGTGGGCTTACTTCTTTGCTTCTTTGTCCGGGACTAATACCCTGAAGGCATCTTCATTAGGGTCATACGATGCGCCATGGATTGCGGCGTTCCGGTTATGTGCTGCGGGTCGACCAAGAGCATTGCAGACATACCTTGACCGGGGCAGAAAGAGGGTATGTCCCCCCCTCTTTCTTCATATCCAAAACTCACTGGACAGACTCCGCAACAAGGCCCCACGCATATACTCTATCCGACGGTGGAAAGTATCAACCTCACCACGCTAGGTCAACGCGGCGGTGAGACGCTCTTCTGCCGCCCGAAGCAGTGGAAGGCGATTCAGGACCTGGGTGGGATTGGCGGTACGGGTGTCTCGGGCTTGCGCATGCTCGATGCGAAAAGTCGATGTGGGCCGGTGGGGATGCATACGAAGGTTTGTGGACAGTCCTGCTGCAAATCTTTTTTGACATGTCTGCAGATGATTCTTGGTACTCTTCCCAAGAGGGTTGGCGCGCTTGCTGTCGAGGACGATTCAGAAACGGAGAGCGATACGGAGAGTGAGACGGAGAGTGACGACGATATCGAGATCGTGGAAGCGAAACCCACACCCCCGCCACATGCTTGGATGTATGTCGGCTCACACAACTTCACTGCTGCGGCCTGGGGCAAGCTGGGTGGGAGCGGGTTTAACCCTGTTTTGACTGTCCGTTGCTTCTTTCTTTGTTTTTAGCTTCGCTGAGATAGCTTCAGATCAGTAATTACGAGCTTGGGGTCGTTTTGCCGTTGGCGACGGCTGCGGACGTGGACAGGTCTGTTGCTTGGGGACGGCCAGCGCGGCCGTATATCAAGGGAGATGAACCTTGGGTGCGTTGGCTTTGTTCGTTTCATCTGCATGTCTGACGCTTTGTAGATTCAGCCTATGTTACGGAGTGGACCAATGTGAGCTATATATAGATGATGGACTTTCTTACGAGCATACTGCATTTTGCATTAGATTGTAGAGCTTTTCGCACAAACACAATTGTCACACCCTCCCGCTGCAAAATTCAAGTTCGCCGTTGTGCCATACTGGATGAGAAGCCTTGATAGCACGAGCCAGCCTCGAAGCTTGAGACAGTCGATGCGTTCCCTTCGGCCGCATGATGTGAGTTTCAGGAGCTTCTCGTCGGCGGCAATCCAGCGTTTTGTTGACTTTCAAAGTAGCGTTTGCCTGACTACTCCTGGTCCCAACTATACCTCTTGGCTGAGTTGCATGAAGGAATGAATTTGAAGACGGCGTGGTCCACCAACAGCAAAGCCCATATTCGGAGATAGAGCGTTGGGAAGGCGCTCAATGTCCGATTCCGCTTCGCCGTGTGAAGCGCGTGCTATCCACGTCAACGTCAGCGACTGCTTTTGACCAGAACCACCACTGCACCCACACACCCGATTTGCATATCTTCAATGGCGCTCCGCATGTCGGGGCGACTGAGGGCGTTGGCGAGGCAGCAGCAGCCAGAGCCGGAATTAGACTCCATCGAAGTCGATGAGCAGGTCGGGGTCGACGTTTTGCCCGATGTTGCGACCGACGAATCGGAAACGAGCGATGCGGAGGCAGAGGCACTGGAGCAGGAGGAATATCAGCTGGACGACGACCTCGATGAGGACAATGGGCAGCAAGAGTCGCGGACACCTTCGGTGGGCAAAGCTATTAGAGTCATGGTAGCTCGTGGCTAAAATTATACTGAGCAGATTGCACCACTCAAGATAAAATTCAAGGTGAAACCGGCAGCCCCGGCGAGTGCATCCCGATCGCGGCGGGCGAGAGGTCAGTAAGATGGTCGGCTCCTCGCATCGAATCGTTCTGAATAATGATTTAGCCGCAGTTAGAATCGACTCTGACGAGTCTGAGTCGGAGGAGGCCATGCCCCAGAATACTCGCCTGACGAAGCGGCAAGCGGCACTGGCGAAAGCCCGTCGCGCAGTGGACGGGTCTGATTATTCACAAGGTAACAACATCTGGCGGTTATTCTTTCTTACCCTGCACGAAAATATAGGCGATGAACCTGAACTGGACGTGTTGGATGCTGACCCGATATCGCCTAGACGAAGAACTGCCCTCGACCCCACGGAAGTTGCTCTTAGGAAGGAAGAATCCGCGCGAAAGCGCCGCAATGTCAGCGAGAGAAAATTGCTGAATGAAAAGGTCAGTAACTTTTCTCAGGCTGCTTTCTGGTCTAGACTCATTTATTCAAGACCGAGACAATAAATCGGCTGTTGAAGAAACAGTCTGGTACACGAAAGAAAAAGGGGAAAGCCCCCGCTGCGGGTCTATCTACCCTGGTCTTGAGCACAGGCGGCACGACTCCGGCCGAACTCCAAACCCCCACTGGGCTTCAGATTGGACCAGAGCTGGCAGAGGCACATTATAGCGCAGACGCGGAGGAGCTGGTGGAAGAGGCGACTATCGAGGGACTCCAGTCTCCAGTTGCGGCAATGCCTAACATGTCTCGTTGGATTTCCACGACGATGCGCCGCGGGGAAGAGCAAGAAGCGGAAGCAACAATGCGAATATCGTTTTCGTTGCCAACTTTGGCCGCTTCAATACCTCAGCCACCGCCGACCCCACTGGCTGCGCGGCCACCAGCGACCTGTGCAGTCAAAGGCTGCCAAAAAGACCGTCGTTATCGACTTGTTGGGGGAGAGTGGGGTGTTGGCGCGTGCGGGATGGCCCACTTGAAGATCCTTGAGAGGTCAAAATGACTGCTGGACCAATTATCTATTCCCACCTGTCTTTCTATTGAGGTTTACCTGAAGTCAATTTTTTTCCGATCATATGTAAGTCGGACCGTGACCGCCGAAATTTTCTCAGAAGCACCACACCTTGTCTCTTACTAGTAACACCATGATGCGCGCCATGCAAGTCCAGCATGCAGGCGGCCCGTTCGAGCTCGTAGAGCTGGCCGTCCCCTAGTCCCGGTGCGCCTCTTACATTCGTTACTTACATCCACCTGAGACAGTCAAGGTTCCCATCAAGTTGTCGTCAAAGTCGATGTTTGCGGTATCTGTGGCGGAGACGAGGTTTGTCGGAGTGGAATGTTGTGAGTGGTCGATCCCGGCCTTTGACATCAGGAAATTTGCGCTATCATGGTCAACGTTGACCAGCGCTTACCAACGTCACCAGCGCGGCCATGCTGGTGACCCACTTGGCCAACGCCAAGTGAGTGCTTACCAGGGCGACTCATTTTCGCCAACACTCACCAAACTGTCACCAGCTGGCGGATTCTGAGCCAAAATATCCTGGTTCCACGGTATTTGATTGCTAGGGGACATGTAATAGCAAGCAGATGCGAGGATAAATAGATATATTGTATAAACAAATACAAGATGAGGTATCACGAAGGTGAGCATCGTGCATAAGCAGCCCAACAACGACCTGGCAAGCGCACAAACCCTGATATTTGCGGGTATAAATATGTACACAAATCTTTGGACAGCGTTAGGAACGTTAACGGAAGCACAAGATGGAGACTCACTGAGATACAACCCATCCTGACCTCTTCTAGCTGTGGAATCCCCTCCCTGTCTGCGCCGACTTGCAAGCATTGATGGTTCTTGAATAAGGACCTGGCTGACATCTTGAGGATGAGTGTGTGACATGTTGAGCAGCTTGAGTGTCGGCTTGCGCAGCCTTGAGGGCGGTTTGACGGTTTCATGTGGATTGAGGAACAGAGGGAGCACTTGAGAGCTTGAAGAACATTGCGGTGGGCATAGCAGCTTGATGGAGGCGGTGCCTGGTGCACTTGTTCAAAGAGAGCAGCGGGGCACAGAGAGTGGTCGTGGGGAGGAGGGAGGGGAGTGAAAGGTGAGAGGCGAGAGGGGGGAAGGGAGGGAAGATGATGGGCAGGAACAACCCACGACGTGTGTGACAACCCGATCAGATTGTCAACAGATCAATTATCACGCCATTGATGCACGTGCTGATTCTTTGGACTTGGAAGTTTTCAAACCCTTCATCCAACCTTCGTCACTTTTATTAGTTTTAAAGACGATCGCAGGACATGCTATCTAGGCTGGCAGTCACTTTATCTTCAGCTTCTTTCTTGTGTACCAGGTAGTATCCTCAAGTTTGTGATCCCGTTCTACTATCTCTGCACTATCGGCCTGGAAAGTAAGATGGCTAGGCTGCCGCTCCGGGTAGTCTGGCAAGGGGCCTGCCAGCGCCGGCCAGCAATCTGCCAGGCTTTCGCCAGCATGGCACTAGATTGATCAGATAGGTGGCGTATGATCAACGGTTGCCAAGCCGTCGCCGAGTTGATCTCAGCTGATCAGCGGTACCAACGTACATCAGTTCTCTGCAAATTTCCTGATGGACTACTTCTTCACTGACGCTACTTCTTTGATGCTCAAAGTCCAGGAATGGTCTACCCCCGCATTCCGGGTCAGCTCCTTATGCTCACGACGCTACTCGCGCTCTTTACGCTGCATGAGCAGGACATGAAGTAGTTGGAACTGTGCATGGGATAGGACCACATGTCAGCGCTCGTTGGCGCCTTGGACAGAGGGTCGGTGTTGGCTGGTTGGTCAACAAAAAAGTACAGGTAATGACTACGTTAACTCTTCCGCCAGGCATGCAGGTCGTTGTGAAAACTCAGAGGCTTGCGACGCCTGCCGTCGCGGGGAATTCTTCGTATGTCCCAAAGCGACTGGAACGGGTGTGTGGTTTTCTTGTCTGCGATAGCCAAGAATCCTTCCCTTCAATTTGCAGGACTGACTGTCGATGGAGGACTCGCAGAATATATGCTTGCAGACCAGGTGTGTTATCAGCTCGACTGGTCGACGTCTCTTGCTGCGTTAACTAATGCTGTCTTAGACTGCTCTCGTCGCAATTCCAGAGGACATCCCATCCACCCAAGCTGCAGGCCTCCTTTGTGCAGGGCTTACCGTCTTCAACGCAATAAGACTGAGCAACATCCGTCCCGGTGATACAATCGCCGTTGCGGGAATTGGTGGATTGGGGTCAGTCTACATGTTAATGGCCAAACATGCGCTCATGCTGAAGTCATTTTTGAGGCATTTGGCTCTCCAGTTTGGGAAGAAATTTGGATACCGTGTCGTCGCTATATCGTCGTCGCCCCACAAAAGACAAGACTGCTTAGAGCAGTTCGGGGCGCACATCTTTATTGACTCCTCCGCCGAAAACGTTCCCGCCTTGCTGGCAGAGCTTCGTCCGACCCTTATTCTAGGTACAAGCGTCGACGCAAAGGTGAGCATGGTCGTCATCTGCTTTAAGGATCCCCGAAGAAATTGTTCTTAGAGCATCACGGAACTCACGCCCTCCTACCCCTCAAATGCACAGCTGGTCATCCTCTCCGAGCCGCCGACGAGAGATGGCACGCTGTCGATACCGTACCTTCCGTTGTTGTTCAATCGCAACTCGGTCGCGGGATTCACCGCGGGCACGGCGGTGGAGGCTGAACACGCTCTGCGTGTCGCGCAACTCGTTGGGATAACTGTGCAAGTCGAGGAATACCCTTTGGAAGCGGCGGAAGAAGCATTTGCCACAATAAAGAATGCAAGATATCGTCGAGTGGTTGTCATGTAATTCGAGGGATGAATCCGCTCCGGGGCGAGTATTGAGGGTGAGGACGTAAGAACAAAGTTCAAGGCTGGCAGTGTAGATTTGCGCTGGATTCGCTCAAAAAGAATCAGCAAGGCCAATGTTGACTTGACAGCCTGATGAATGGCTTGCCTTTCCCGACGATGCAAGCAATCGAGTGACAACCACCGGGCCCAGGTTGGGCCCAGGAATGTTCGACGGAAATCCCGATTCTCGATCCGATGTTCCGAAACATTTATCATTCCTGCCAAATTCCTTCCGGTCGCAATATTATTAGTGGATACTCACTATTACATAGACGGACCAAGCGACATTTTTTTTTCACGTGTCGTCAATAATTTCACTCCAGCCTCGGTTCTTAATTGTGGCGTTCCGCTTAAATAGCAAAATAATAGATTTTAAGGTGCCGACGGCGATCCTCGTCAAACATTTGAGATGCAACTGGGCTGGTTAGTCGAGGCCATGTACACAGTGCCCGAGTGGCGCTTTATTCAAGGCACCGACGGGTTTGATGGCCTTATTCAAGTTGTCCTGCAACAGTGTTGCATGAAAACATGAAAAAGTGGACACAAAGTGGACGTGATTTGGCATGTCCGATTCGTCCCAGTGGACGGAGCGGCCCAGCAGTGCGCTTGTTCACGGAGTCGTTGCAGTTGGAACTCGGTCGACGTCAGTGATTTGCGCGAATATCGGGCTCGCTGCCAGTGCTGCACTTGTGAAATCGGCATCGATGCCACGGGGCCCAGGCAGGGAAGACAGAGAGGAGAGTTTGGCTCGGCGTTTAACGTCCAAACTCCGCTTCCGAAGTCCGGTGGGAGGCCGACGTCTTGACCGAGGGTCCACTGGCAGGAGGCAGAAGAAACACAAGAGCAGTGGTTTCAAGTTGAATCTGTCTCCAAGTGCTTGCCTGTGGAAATTGCGTGGTGTACGATTTGAAGCTTGAGGAATGCATCCCGTCCGATGTGATCCACTAGGCTAGCATTCATCTGAGTGCTTTTCGCTTGGTTATTTCCGATTGTGATCGAGGAAGGTACTGAGCAACGACTGACAAACTGGGACCTGGGTCAATATGACGATAACCAATAGACAAATAAAGTCGATGCAGGTACGACGGCCCCTAGTAGAGGCACGATCGTACATGGAGATCGTGTGAATTTGGAGCGGCAGATAAGATACTCGCGATTGGCATATGGGCCGAATAACTGAGTTAGAGATCCTAGCCTTCTGTGTTTCGCAGCATGAATTGAATAAACTTAACATCGTCAGTTGAACGCCTGCACCGTCGCGCAGTTAGCCAACACCGTTACGGCAGGAGTACGGGTCGGAGTTGGCGATCCTGGATAGCACTGGCACGCCGGCCTGTCACCCCAGTAACCCAGTGCTTATCGTAAGTAGGTCCACTCGGCGGCAGCGTCGAAGCCACACTTGCCGTAACGCCGTTCATAGATGTTTACCGTAGACACTGAATTAAGAATACGAGAAAGGCTAACGAACGTGTTTTGCGCGTGGATTTTGAATCAAAGCTGCCACAGTCATCAGCACTGACAAGAACTCCGGTCAGATTTCAACCCCAGAATTGAGGAATCCATTGGACTCATAAGTACTTTGCGCTGACAGCGATGCGGACATTGGAAGAGAATAACAGAGCCCTTGTCCTTGAAATCGCAAGACCTTGATTTTCACGTTTTGTGCGCCACTCGCCGAATGTATGACAGATTGAAGGGGGCCGTCGTGAAGCTGCTGGATATTACGGTTTGCTTTAGGCTGACATCAACGGTGACAGTGGCGTAGCGCATAAGGAGACTTGTAAAAAAAAGAACGGGTCTAGTTGGGAATAAGGACCGTAAAACTTGAGGTCGCCTAGCAGCCATGCACGACAACACATTCATCTCAGTGGGGGTACGAAGGCATGAGGCATAGATGACCCAGAGAGTGCCCAGTGACTGGTTGCAGCGAACTTGAGGTAAAAGTGAAGAAGCCAGAGAGAGAGAAAAAACAGGTCTTGGATGAGAGTTTGGAAAGACAGCATCGTGCGGAGATTCAACATGCGCACGGTTCTCGCCATGAAATCCAGCAGAAACAACAGTTTCCAAAACGAGTTCAAGGACGACAAGAACGTTTTGCGCAAGAGGAGAATGATTCCGAGTCGGGACAACCCGGATGCAATTAGGATCATGATGATGAGAGCCTAGAACCATGGTCTGGACCATTGCTGGACCAGCCTATTTGCTGCCCATGCTCTTTGCTTCCGTTGAGGGCTTGAGGAGGAAAATACCCCCGACGGACTTGTGGGGAAGCGGGGCTGGAGGGTGGAAGCGGATTGGGCAATCTGCTCCAGGTACCACGGCCACTCTTTTCTAAGCATTCGTATTTGTGGCGCTAAGTTTGGTGACTGACTTGCCCTCGAATGCAACACTCACTTGTAGATTTTTTGGAGGTATATCATCGGCAATTTCTAGACCAGATGAAGGTCGACCTTCTTTTTCCGCCTGCTGAGCGCCTTCCATAAGTTTTCCATATCTGGAATCGAGAAATCTTGGCAAATCCAGAATCGGGAGATCTGAGCACAGCTGACACGCAAGACAACGACAGATGACGGTAACAAATGATCGCATGTCACCCGTCACACGCCGTAAGCACGGGCTTCGCAAGGTACCCTGTTTTTACGACGATGGGTCTTGTGCTGCTGGTCGGCCGTCGGTCGACGCGCAAGAAGGACTTCATCCTCTGCTCGTTCATCCTACGGCGACTACGAAGACGAGAAGGCACCAGACAAGCGGAGCGGCATTCTAGCTCTTGTTGCGAGCAAGACAATCACGGTGAGACCATTGCAAGAAATTTGCGACCCATTCTAAATTTCGATCACACCCGTCGTCAGTATTTGAAGAAAGGTCTTTAATTAACAGCACCGCACTAGCACAAACCCTCCCCCTTCAAAATGGCGACCATAGCCATGACTGTCGATTCCTCCCCACTCCATTACCTCCATCCCTCCCTCCCCTCCGCTGTCCACCAGCCAGACAGCGCCATGGACTCGCCTGTTTCCCCCACCTATACCGACTTCAGCGTAGAGAGCGGCCACAGCGACTTTACTGCCGATTTAGGCTCACCATTGCCCCTCCACGACGACGGTCATGGCTTTTTACACACACCAGCTCGGCCGCGGATGACTTCGTTTATCATCACCCGAAGCCATACCAGATGCTGTCCCCGCAGGGATACTATACCTTCGTGCGCTTGCTCGCCACTATTTTTGTATCTTGCAGCTGACGAGAATTACTAGAACAAGCCAGAGCTTACAAGCTCTGCTCGTGTCTTCAACAACGTCCAGCGTAGCTACAGCGCTAATGCTGGATACGGGTATCAGCAATCGGTGAGTGCCACTTCTTCACTCCTGCTTCCAATGCCCATCTTTCTGCTCCATACCAACGACATACTGATGACCCTCTTCAGTTTCATCATTATGAACCAACACCCTCACCGACTTCGCCTTGGGAGCAAGAGTATCACGCTCAAGCTCCCGCCATAACCTATTCCAGCTCGCTTCCCCACTACAACCAACATCACCACCTTCACCGCTCGACGTCGATGCAGCAAATGACGAGCAGCGGGTCCAGCTCTGCCATCGGTCGTACTCATTCGCAAAGCGTTTCCCACCAAGCTTACGGCCATCCTCTTGCCCAACAACCACACCATGTCGATCCTCGATATGTTCTTGGGTCCGGGTGCCAGGCGCAGCCTCCCAGCAGTCCCAGTATCAGTACGCGAAGCAGCGACAGTCCTTCGCGTTCTCCACTTGGCCTCGATGACTGCGATGCAAGCAGCATTGCTCGGAGTACTGGAAGGACAAGTACTGCTCCAACCTCGGTTGATGACGGCGCTTCGGCGGACGATAACGACAGCGAGTATGTTGACAACGGAAGCGATTCGGACGGGGACTTCTTACCTGCTGGGCATCGGAGACGAGGGCGGTATACGTCAACTGCGACCCCCGGTATGTGTATCGTTCTTGCGTGGGAAATTACTGATATCCAAATTCAGGTGTTCCAGACGATGCTTTGTATTCTTTCCCTCCTGATTATGACCCAGGCAGCGATTCGGCGCTCCTGCTCGGTCAACGGCGGCCCCGTGCTCGCCCAAGTGCCACTCTGCCACCACCTGTCCCGGTCCCGAATTTGACCAAGAAGAGCCGAGGCCGCCGAGTACCGACAGTGCATAGTTTGTATGGCAATGAATACGGTGCGTCTATCCATCTTCTTCAATGGGCTGGTCTGAGTTCTGCAAAGGTCGGAGAGGTTCGGCCAGCGTCAAGGCCGCGGCGCGCCTCTACACCTGCAAGGTGCCTGGGTGCGGCAAATGCTTTGCAAGAGGCGAGCATTTGAAGCGCCATATCCGCAGCATCCATACCTTTGAGAAACGTGTGTTGTGGTTCCTCGTTGCGTGGACTTATCTAACTCTTGTTGCCAGCGTACAAGTGCCCTTATCCCGGTTGTGGAAAGGATTTTTCGCGGAACGATAACCTCGGCCAGCACATGCGCGTGCACAAGGAATTCAGCGGGCGCTGACCGACTAAAAGCTCGAAGTATTGTTGTTTGTTGTACCAACACTCTGGATTGCTTGGAATCGGATTGGATTGTACATACTCATTCTGCTCACACCTACCTTATCATTTCCCTGTTTTTTTCTCATCTCACTTTGCAGGCATACCACAGTCAACGTCGCTATCGGTTTACATTATGACATCATAAATATAGCACTACATTTACAGTACTTATCTCCAATTTGTAACTCGTTTCTGTCAGGGACACTGTACTGAGTCAAGATATACGATGACATCCAAACCAATTCGTCGTCGTATGCAGTACTTATGGACTCGTAATTTCAAAGCAAATTTTAGAGGCTTGACGGTTGGCCAGGAAACATAGCTATGGTCCCCGACGCTGACAGGCTAGTCAATACATTCGGCCGCCAGTGTGCCGATGTGGCTTTGCAGGCTTGAGGCTTGGTGCGGGAGTTGTGGGGCCAGACGAAAAACCGATGATGGATAAGCGTTGGATAAGCGGCAATGGCCTGGATACCTGTAGAACTAAGACAAGAACTAAGAAAAGAGCAAGGTTAGGCGTGGGTGGAAGGCCCCGACTTGAATGCAAATACATGGACAGTGGTGATCTGCGGGTTCTGTATAATGATAAGAATTTGAGAAGCAATATGCCCGCCTTCGCAAAGATTACCTTCGTGCGGGAAAGCACCCCACTCGAAGGCTGTCATGCCTTTGTATGCCTTATCGCGGCGTATGGTGCTTCTAGTTTTGTTGTCGATGTTCGTACATACCACGTCTCTTTGCGCTTATTATCTTGTCGGCGCGTGAGATACGCAGCATAGCGGACCACCGCCATTTACGTCCTTCGGCACAACAAAGCACAACCCCAAAAGCCAACTAATCTGGCAAGGGCTTGGCAGTTTCGCTCAATCTCGCTTAAAATTTAGTCATCGGTTGGCAAATCAAATATGCAGTTGACGCGATGATCGGATCGCTGTTGTCGTTTCGAACAGCAGGCGTTATGCGCACAGTACGGTTTCGATGATGAAGGGAAGCATTCTAGATAGTGGACATGCAGGATGGGATTTCTGTGCAGAAACTCGTGACCTTTGCTATTCGTATCACGTGTAGCAGTAGATCTTTCCCTCGCGGTGACGGTGGCACTGTGTGAACATAGGACCCCCGACAACCCCCTTAGATGCCGAAGGCCCGACCGGGTAAAATTTGCGGAAATTTTTGCCAAGGCCGGAGGCAAACTGGGTAAAAATGGCCCAATTTTGGCCGGGGGCCTCAGGTGTAAGACTGGGTAAAAGTGACCGTCGTCTGGGGGGGCCAGAGGCCCAACCGGGTAACTTCTCCCCTCACTTGTTCTTGGTGTAACCGGCCGTACTCCGCGTAGTCTGTAGCCCCTATTAGGCTGCCGACGTCGTTCGATCCTGTCTTGAGCCAGTTTTCTCTCTCTGAAATGCGCTCCAGCCGATTTCTGACCTCGCGCCTTTTTTAGCACTACCCTGTAAGGCTGGAGGTCGAAACTGGGTAAAAATGGGCCCTTTCCGGAGGCCGGAGGCAAAAGTCGGGTAAAAACTGGCCAAAAACGCTCAAAAAAATTCGGGTAAAAACCCCCAAACCCGGCCTCCGGCCTCTAAGGGGGTTGTCGGGGGTCCTGTGAACATGCACACTTGTGAACATGCCATGTAACGCTGATCTACGCACACAGATACGGAAATGTAGATCATTCCACACATCCACATAACATATTAGTTGGGCAAGTGCCGGTGAACAAAATCAAGGAACACTAAAAGACAACAATAAGTATACTATATATGAGTGGTGGAAGCCGCAAGCGGCAGATGACGAACCTTCTAAGTTGTCAATTCAGTCCTACTGATTTGTCTTAAAGGCAAATTCTTTTAAACACCAATTATGAATAATAACAACAATAAATTTATTTATATTATTATATACATTTCTCACTTTCTATTATACTTGCTATCTGATGCTTGCCTGAACTTGAAGCCAAACAAATTTGATTCATGGGATCATCCAGATGATCTATTAATTAACTTAGGATGATGTTTTCAACTTAAACCAAACATAAACTTGAATCTGCATACTTGATCCAAGTTTGGGAATATTTTATGATATTTCATAGTAAACCTATTGAGTAATTTGAGAATTTTATCGAAAATTACAGTATATAAACTAAATTCCCTTAACAAAAATATAGGTTTGTGCAGGGATCTAATGTTATTATTCATGTATATTTAAGGTAGAAAAGACCTGTTTACAGGGCTTATGGCTTATGTCTGTGGCTAGGGGAAAAAATCAAACATATAGGAAGGAAGAAGGGGAGAGAAAAGAGGAAAGGATGGGAGATTAGTGTACATACCTACTGTAATCTCCACAAGAAAATGTGCTGTTTTGCGGCCGGAGTATCGTTGAGCCCAATAGCGGATGCCCAAATTGGGTAGCCTTTACACATCTCCGCATCAGGGCTGTTCCGTGGTGTATGCCCTTTCAGGGCACCGTCTCCATTTGGACATACACCCCAGCCAATTGTTTTCTAAATATTAGGCCTTGACTTGATGGCCCGTCACCAGTCGGCACCTTTTCCACAGCGGAAGCACATGTTCCTCCAGGACTATTCCCACATTGTGCTGCTGCTGCCACCACCATTGAACACAACGGACTTAAAGAAAGAGAAGAGTGCTTGATAAGTAGTGGCTCCTTGCTTGTACAGGTCTTCATATGTCCTAGATATTTTTATATCACGTACTGTACTTAATAACTTAATATACATCCAATATTCAAGTTTTTAAGCAGTTTTCTGTCTCTCAGATCTGAGTCTCTATACAGCAATGAAAACTGAAAAATATTGGTCCCAACATTAAGTCATTTATTTTATTTCTGCATGCCATTGGCGCACAGGTGCAGGTCAGGTCAGTGTGACACTGTACTAAGTACTTGCAAAATCAGCCTTCCAGTACTAAGTATTTGTTATTAAATTCAGTTTCTGAGCGCAATGAATACTGAGTATATGTACTTGAAGCACCAGATTGAACAAGCTACTCTGCTGACTAGCTTCTACTACTACTATGACCAACTCTAGCTTTCGTCACAGTCTCACAGCTCGGAAGACACGGGATGTCGTGTTTGACATCAGATCTTCCCACATCAGATGCGGGTACAATCCTATGCCCATATGTGGACATATGCCGCCACAGGCACTACCTATGAGCTGTTTACAGTAACTATCACACGGTAAATTCAAATCTTTCTTTTCTGTCAGGGGAACCTCCCTTTCGGCCCGGAGACGCGCCCGATTCCGGTCCGACTCCGGTTCCGACTCCGGTCCGGCCCTCCATCTCGCCCGCACAATCACCGATCCGTCAACGCCCTCCCCGACGGTCGCCCTGGGACCTCGCCTGCGACGCCGCCCAAGCCTTCTGTGCCCGACAGCGGCAGCTACGGACAAGCAGTATATAGTCAGCTACCTAGCAGGCGGACACTTAGAGTTTCTTCTCTTTGGATCCTCCCCTGCTAGGTCAGCTTCATTTGTATTCGCTTACCAATGTTCACACCTTTGGATCCTCCCCTGCTAGGACCTTGATCTCAGGCCTCCGGGGTTGCCCTTACAGCAGAAGAAACTCTCTACGGGATCAACCGGACAAGATTGCCAGGTTCGGCGCTGACTCAGGCTCGAGTACGAGTCCGTTCCGCCCTCGTCACCGCCCCTGCCACTTGTCCCCTCCTCCTCTACTCCTGTGGTCCCCGCACCCGTCATGCCGTCCGGAGTCACTCCTACCGCAGACGCCCGGCTGGACTCACTCGAGGCGAAAATCGATAGCCTAACTGAGGCCCTTGCTTTACTCACCAACCAGGCTTCCGCTGCCGCTGCCGCCGCTAATAATGCTGGCGGACCCCAAACACCATTGCCGGAGACGTCGATTCCGACTCCGACTCCGGTCCAGGGCGACTCGAAGCCCTTTTTGGCGACATCAACCTCGCCTCAAAATTGGTCTTGCGACCAAACCCCCCGTTCACCTTCAACGGCGACTGGAAACGCGGCCGCTCTCTACTCTGGTCCGCACCTACGCCCGCCTTGCCCCTGAGGCCTTCGTGGTCAACGGAGAGGCAAGCGAGGAAAAGGCTGTCCGCTATGCCATGTCGTTTATGGCAGAAGGACCCGCTCAGCAATGGGCGGAGCGCCACGGAAGCAAAGCCCCGTTTCCGTTTCCGTCCTGGGGCTCGTTCGTTCCGAGTTTCGACTCCGGTTCGTCGAGGAGAATGAGCAAGATCACGCTCTCTCCAAGCTGGAGACTTCCGCCTATCACATGGGTACAAAGGATGTCTACCAGTACACCGACGACTTCGAGGACCTGATGGACCTCGCCGGATTCAAGACGCGCTGGTCAAGGTGACCAAGTTCCGCCCACGGACTTGACCCCCTGATCAATAATGGAATCACGTCCTCGAACGACCCCCGGACCTCCGGGATTACCTTAGCTGGCGCACCCGGGCCTTCCGTCAATACGAGGCCCTGGTCCGGGCCAAGCTGATCAAGTCAGCCGCCCCCAAGACGCCTGGCGGTTTGATTCGGACTCCGTTTCCGGTCAACCGCATCCCGGCTCCGGCCCCTTTCCGCCCGGTGGCTCCGGTCGTGCCACCCGCGGCCCGCGCCCCTGCTCCGGCGCCTCCAGCTCCCGTCCCTATGGAGTTGGATCGCACCAGGGCTCGGGGTGCCCCTCGTCGCGCCTGCTTCAGGTGCGGCGACCCAAACCATCTCGCCGGGATTGCCCCCTCCCCGCCGATGTCCGCTCGATGGACATCCTCGACGAGGTGATCCAACAACTCGGTGACGAGATGTTAGCGGAGTTGATCGCCCGCTACACGGACACAGCTGCCCTGCCGGAGACGGCAGCGGAGTCGATGGCCGGAGAGGATTTTGTCCCCCGCGACGAGTGACTGGTGTGCCCTCGTTCGCGTCTATAAATCGTTTTGCCTCCTTGTATGATGAATGCAGTT